CATTCTTCTTGCTAGTTGTGAAGATGTCCCATTCTGACAATAATTGACATGAGTTTGATGGTCAAGTGCTCACAGTGAGCTCCGTGGATTACAAGGAGCAATAGTGACATGGGGACAAGCCATCTCTCCCCCCTGGACTGATCATTGCAGGGAAAGTACGATAGTAAAACTCTTTGTCTGAACAGTAGATCGGGAAGTAATGAACTTGATCAAGCTGTCTAGTCTGCCACTAAGCCTTTACACTCCTTTACACTCTGATGTATTCCTCATCCTTGTTCAAAGTGTGCAAAAACAGGTTAAGGTCAGAACACCCAGGATACTTTGCTGTGCGTTGTAGGGACAACCAGCCATGAATATGAGGTATGGGCTTTTTCTTGTCTATGTAGACAGGCTCTACCCTATGTTCATAGGAGCAGTGAATGCCTGTATTATCTTCTAGTGCTTTCAGTGGGCTTTTGTCACAGAGCACTACATTAAACTGCATTTGGATCAGTATATTTAGGATCCGGTCATCAGTGTTCTATGATGATTTAAATGTTCCATCTGTTTCAGTGTATTCTTACATACAGTGTCCACAGTAGTATTTGAGGCATTTGCCATTGCTACTTCAATAAATGTTTAAATAATTCTTCATCTGATAAGTAGCAAATTTTTAACAAATTAAGTCTATTCTACATGCTACTTTATTTTTTATTGCAATTCTGTTTTTGTTCATATTACTTGTGATGCAGTCTTGTACATTTCACCAAATCTGGCCCATTTCATTTTTTTACATACATTTCTGAGTTTTTTTTTGTTCCTGTTTATTCATTCAGTTGCTTTCGATTCTTTGTGAACTTATGGACCAGCCCATGACAGAGCTCCTTGTTGGCCATCACCACGCTCAGCTCCTTCAAAGTCAAGCCAGTCACTTCAAGGATGCCATCTATCCATCTTGCCCTTGGTTGGCCCCTCTTCCTTTTTCCTTCCATTTTCCCCAGCATCATTGTCTTCTCCAAGTTTTCCTGTCTTCTCATTATGTGGCCGAAGTATTTCATCTTTGCCTCCAATATCCTTCCCTCCAGTGGGCAGCCAGGCATTATTTCCTTGAATATGGACCGTTTGGATCTTCTTGTGGTCCAAGGCACTCTCAGAATTTTCCTCCAACACCACACTTCAAAAGCATCTGTCTGCCTTTGCTTAGCCTTCCTTATGGTCCAGCTCTCACATCCATGTTATTACAGGGAATACCATTGCTTTAACTATGCCAACCTTCGTTGCCAGTATGATGTCTCTGCTCTTAACTATTTTATCGAGATTAGTCTCCTCCCTGAGTTAACTCTACCATTATTCAGAGAAAGGTGTCCTCCTTAGAGTTTTTGGTTTTCATGAAATGATAGTGAACAATAACAACAAATTAAATAACTATTTTATACTAAAACAAAATAAAATAATCCCTTGTAATATCTTTGAAATTAACTATGGAATTGGAAATGTCTTAAGCTTTCATGGAGTTTAGTTCATGTTTTGATATAACTATTTATGTGTCAAATGCAAAAGACTACTTCCTATTCTCATTTAGGGCTCATCCACAGACACCACTGTTCCTGGAAGTAGCCATATATTCCATATCTGTCCCATAGTAATGGTGGGCCAAAGGCCAGTTGGTCTTGCCAGACTGAAACCAGTCTGGTCCTGCAGGACAGTCACCATTGCTGGATGGTCACATAGCTCTCAGAGAGCTCCTTACTATTGCTGGGAACCTTTGATTTTGTTTGATTTTCTGCTTCAAGTACCAAAATAACTTGATTATGGATACTTAATATGCCTTGAACTGGGTGTGTATGAGAGATATAAGCAAATATGTGTGCCATTTGCTGTTCTGGCTAATTCAAGTAAAATACTTTGAGCCAGCCCTGACAGTTTCCTTTCCTTTCAGGTTTTCTTAGATAACTGGACTTGTGAAAGCAGTTTAGATATTCCTGTTGATTCAAGCATTAAAAACATCATTACCAGAAAAAAAATACAGTTTATTCAAATGCAATTGTGTCTCTGGGATAAATTCATGGTATAAATTCCTATCTTGGGCACAACTACAGAAATTGTCAACTTCATAATCTGAAAATTCTTTAAAATCTGCCATGTGTTCATAATATGGTATATCAGGAAACAAACACAAAACCTCCTGCTTTGTGGTGTTCTACCAACACAGCCACAGACAATTGGAGTGGAATTAATGTGATTTATCAAATGCTGTTGGACTATGGCTCCCAGCAGTCCCCATGAATACAGCTAATAAAATGAAATGGAATTCAGAAGGGCCACATTGCTCTATTTCCATTTTCTGTACTAATGATGACCTTTTTATGCATCTCGCCCACCAAATGTTTCTTTTAAATTAACAAAAATATAAGGAACTAATTCATTCAAGCCACAAGTACAGAAAGGAACTTGTTTAATGGCTGGTGCTATTTTAAACGAACAGAAAACCTCAGTGCAAATACACTGATAGATTAATGCAGGAATATTTTACAGTCAGTCTTATTATGCACACCAGCACCAGAGAGTTCATAAGCACCAAAATTTCCTTTACACATTTGGAATTTTTGAAAAGGTGAATGCAAGTCTGATCACCCACTAAATTCTTCTACAGTGAAACCACAGAAATGCTATTTCTCTGTGCACATACATGACCTCAGCGGATGGGGAAAGGAAAAAAAAAGTGCCAGAAATGCACACTTGACACTACGTTGGCCATGTAAATAATCATATGCTGGATTTTGTCAAAACAACAACATTTGTATGCATAATTTTAAACTATAAAAGAGGCTTCTTTTTTCAGAATTGTGCCTATTACATTTATCCTGATTCCTAACATGAAAGTGAAAATCCTCAAATAAAAACATGCTGGGTATTTTTACCTGAGAGAACATCTCTCTTGGAATTTCTAGGTCTAGGCCTTCCACAGGAAACTGACTACAGAATAATATTGGAGAACCTAGACATTCCTGGATGCATTCCCTCTAGAAATCTCTAAGGCCCTTTCTACACTGCCATATAATCCAGATTATCAAAGCAGATAATCCGCATTATCTGCTTTGAATTGGATTATCTGAGTCTACATTACCATATTTATTTATTTGTTTATTAATTTACAGTATTTATATTCCGCCCTTCTCACCCCGCAGGGGACTCAGGGCGGATTACAATGTATACATATATGGCAAACATTCAATGCCAATTAGACATACAACATATATCAACATACACAGAGGCTATTTAACTTTTTCTGGCCACCAGGGGAGCTGTCGCTTTCATCGTCCATCTGCGACACTGATGAAGTACTTTCCACATTCCCCGCATGCTTTTGCTGGAGTGATTCTTTTTTATGGCCTTGTAAATTAGTTAAATTAGCCTCCCCACACATAGGTGGTACCTAATTTTCCTACTTGACAGATGCAACTGTCTTTCGGGTTGCAAAGGTCGACAACAAGCTACACAATTGGTCGGAAGCTCACTCCGACCCGGGCTGGCTTTGAACTCATGACCTTTTGGTCAGAAGTGATCTTAATGCAGCTGACACTCAGCCAGCTGCTCCACAATCCCGGTTCAAAGCAGATAATCTGCATTTTATATTGCAGTGTAAAAAGGTAAAGATAAACGTATTCCCTTTGACATTAAGTCTAATCATGCCTGACTCTGGGAGGTGGTGCTCATCTCCATTTCTAAGACAAAAAGCCGGTGTTGTCTATAGACACATCCAAGGTCATGTGGCCAGCATGACTGCATGGAGCATTGTTACCTTTCCGCTGAAGCGGTGGTACTTATCTACTCACATTTGCATGTTTTTGAACTGCTAAGTTGGTAGAAGCTGGGCCTAACAGCAGGAGCTTACCCCACCCCCCGGATTTGAACTGCCAACCTTTCAGTCAGCAAGTTCAGCAGCTCAGCAGTTTAACCTGCTGTGCCACCAGGGGGCCCTTATATGGCAGTGTAGAAGGGGCTTAAGTTCTCCTAAATGACAGGAGGAAGTTGACCATGGGGTCACAGTGGAGGATCTAGAGATTCCTTGAGATAGTATTTCGTAAATGTGGAGGGACAACTGTATTTAAAAAAGTATCTCCCCCTGTTTCTGAACCAGACCTATGAATTCCGTTTTATGACATAATCTTCTAATGCACACTTTACTTTAATAGGGACACTGGAGACAATTGTAAAGTGAGTTGTGTCTTCATTCCACCTAGTTCAGTATTTTCTACACTGCAGAGATTCTGAATTGGAAGTTTCCCAGTCATTTCTTGAGATAACTGAACCTGGAATCGTTTGCACACAAATATGTGCTTTGCTGCTGAACTATAGGCCTTCCCCTTCCTTGGAATGGTTTTCAATGCCAAGCTTAACATGTATTTAATCATGTATTTGATAACACTCAGAGGTTTTATTTTCCAGGTAAACATTCTTATTGCTCAAACTAATAGCTTATCCAAGAGGTGGAATACAAGATTAGTCATGTACCAAGCTTTGAATGTTTACTTATTAAAAATAAGAAGGAAACTGAGAGTTTTCACACCCTGCAGCTCCATCTCAGAACAGTGAAAGGACACGTTTATGAAGACAGGTTTACCATGCACATTACAAGCTGACAGCCAAATCTCTTATTGCGAGATACAGTTCACTCTACTGAATTCAGTAGAACTTATTTATATGAAAATGCACTGGTGATGGCAGCGTTCAAGTAGTGCTTTAAAATGTGCTAAGACTGCAGCCAAATAGTGTGATTTTTAAAAAACGTTTCTTTAATTAGTACCCCACCCCCTACCCCACATTCCTATCCTGGCATTATCGCAAACTGTTTTTAAAATGCTCCCAATTTTAAAAGCAGTTTGTATTTCCATTTTAAAATGAAGCCCCCTCCCCTTCCCCCACACACACTCCGTCACATGGGACAATATGCATTGATCTTTCATTCTTTCCCATGTCAGAAGAATAGAAAAAAAGTGTCCTCCCTGTACCACCCATGCTTTCCCTTTGATTTGTCAGTTTTCTTTTCTTTACATGTTAGGTATTCTCTGTGGATGTGGAGGAAAAAATGTGATGACCACAAAACACAGTTGTTTACAGTCACATCTCTGAGGAAGACCTGAGGATTGATCATTGTAGAATTGCTACAGTTTTCCTTTGAGGATTTTTCTTCTCATTTCTCCATTTTCTTTCTTAATGGTCTGTTGAAAAATCCAGCCTGCAAAAAGAACGAGGAGGAAATCAGTTCAGCTTCTAAAATGTATAGGAACAAAGAGAATCTGTGTCATTACATTAAGCGTGAATCCCTTTAGGCTGCCAACCAGCCATGCTATATCTCCAAATCCTCAATTCCATTTAATCTTCGATCCATTTTTTAATTTGTTCTCTCAATGATCTGCAAAGGTTTGGGGGTTGGTGAACATGCCTAGTCCTCAGATGGACTACTTCAGAGAACTTTTAAGTGATTATATTTTGTAAAGGTAAAGGTTTCCCCTTGACATTAAGTCTAGTCATGTCCGACTCTGGGGGGTGGTGATCATCTCCATTTCTAAGCAAAAGATCAGGTGTTGTCCATAGACACCTCCAAGGTCATGTGGCCAGCATGACTGCATGGAGTGCCATTACCTTCCCGCAGAAGCGGTACCTATTGATCTACTCACATTTGCATGTTTTTGAACTGCTAGGTTGGCAGGAGCTGGGCCTAACAGTGGGAGCTCACCCAGCTCCTTAGATTTGCACTGCCAACCTTTCAATCAACAAGTTGAGCAGTTCAACGGTTTAACTCACTGTGCCACCAGGAGGCTCATATGATATACGTATGTATATGCACATTTTTGACACACTCATATTTCCCCTTGGCTATTTAAATACGAACATTTGTAAAATGAGCTACTTAATATTACTGTAAGATTTGTTAAGGATAGCTGGGATACTTGAATGACCACCACTGCCTTCTAACACATTGATAGTAGATTCACATATTGCATACACTGTGCTTCTAGTGAGTTAGTGATTTACTTATTTTAGCTTTAACAGGTCTGCCGACTCATGGTGAAGCATTTAATAACACCCAGATGCTAACTACAATGAATGTACTATCAATATGCTATTATTATGCGCTCTGGGCTCTTCCAGACTGATTAAAAGGTCTCAGATTTATTTTATCATCCTGGGGATGATAAAATTATTCAACATCCTCAGGAATTGATTCTGGGAGCTGTTAGAAAATAGTCTGGTGTAAACAATACGTATATAGATTTCCATATTAAAATTGGGAAGAAGAGAAACAACATTTGGGACTTTCTGTTTGGTTTATTCAGTCTGAAGCCACAGCCGAGAAAAGGAGTAATGGTTAACCCATGTAGGTCTGGCTACATTTCTCTGATGAGCATGACTAGTAGTGTTAACTGTAATTTCCAAGAGAACAAGTAATTTTTGTTGTTAAGTTCTTGTGGGTTTTTTCGGGCTTTTTGTTGTTGTTTGCTATGTTATATTGGCTTCAACTGATGACAACCTTATAAGGAGAGAGCTCTACAACAGGCTAAAATTAACAGCTTGGTAGAGCAAAATTTGAAGACCAGTGGAAGTTCATCTACAAAAAGGGAAAGAAAAAAATTCTTGAACGCTATCAAATCTTATAAATCATATAACCTAGTGTTTCATAGCATACATAATATGTACATAGGTCAGAAAAGGACAAAAGACTTGAATAGGACAAAAAAAGAAATCAGAAATAGAGTGCAAAACACTGTACCTTCCACAATGCAAATATAAGTAGTGTAAGAATCAGAAGTCCAGCGAATATACTCAGCAGAATAACCCATAAGGGCACGTGGCCAGGAGGAAGCTCTCTTGAAATTTTAATACTTGTCTGAAAATTGTTAAAGCAAAAGAAACATTTAAAATAGGGAGATGTCATATAATTCGATCTGCAGTTACTGTTATTTACTGTTATTTATGTTTTAGAAGAAATTAGATCTAGGTGTTATCAGACTACTGAAATAAATGTGATTTAATAATGACTAATTTAAAAACATTGATTTTAATACATCTCATAGAATCATAGAATAATTTGTAAATCGGATGTTTGTAACTCAAGGACTGCTGTGTATTCCAAAATCCACCATCTCCCACAATATGAAAAACCTCTGGGTCCAAGTATTTCACATAAGAGAAACTCAACCTCAACTAGTGATGACTATATGACCTCAGCAGCAACTACAACCATAATTGATTGGACTATGTATATACAAATACAGGTATTTTATAATCTGAAAAAAAAATCAAAATCCAAAAAAATTCTGGCTCCAAAATTTTACTGTACTACTGCTGTCTGTAAGACCTCAGGTCAACTGTAACCACAATTGATTGGACATGGAGGTAGATTCAGAACTCTGAAATAAGATCCCCTACTTTTAATGGGACATACTACTTAGCAAGTTTATAGCCTTAGACCAGTTAATTTTTCTTTTTCCTAAATTGGTTTATGAATTCCGCTTTCAGTCTGTAAAAAGATCTTAGTGGAGCTCACCTCTATTTTTTCATTTTCTTTTTTCAAAATCAGTAATGAATTTTCACTTCGAAGTAACGCTCTTGCTGTGATCTCTGCACTGTGAATGCTTGCCTAGAATAAAATAAGTGCAAGTGACCAGCGCTCATTTTGGTGATATTTCAAATTTCAAACATAGATAAGAAGAGTCATTTTGCTTACAAGAGGCAATATCAGTGGTATATGTACATGGTGGTATAAAAATAAGTCTATTGTTCATTGTTTCTTCTACACATTTGTTAATCTTAATGGAGACAGTAAACAGAATTTTGACAATTTGAGACCAGGACTCTGGCTTGATTTAGAAAGGATGAAGAAAATATGCAGCCTTTTTATATGTGTCACCAGGATTCTTGCATCCAGTATAGAGACTAAAACTTCCTTTCACTATGCAGTTATAGCACCTTAACTGTCGTACATGTCACAAAGCCTTGGGACTTGTAGTTTAGTGAGATACTTAGAAACTTCTACTAGAGATCTCCAGTTTGAATTAGAATTCTCTAGCAGACAATTTAACCACAAATCACAGCATTCTAAAAGATATAACCAACATAGTAGAATCAGTCTTCTCTGTGTAATGTAGTTATACTTAATGCCTCAAGACAACATTCTGTTCAGAAGAATGTGATAAGGTTGAAAATAATGTGTTAAAAGTAACTGTTATTCCAATTAGTTACTTTTGGGAGTAACAAGGCTGGACATTTCAAAACATCTTTAAGAAGAAAGAATGAAATGATTTTATTTGTACAATGAATAAAAAACATTCTGGCTACTTTGTTATTAGAAAGTTACTTTTAAGGATTCTGTTACAGGCAATTTGACAGAAATTTTTAAAGTTTGATAACTGTTAGGATTTTTTTATCTTCTCTAAAAAGTAAAATAAGATAATGGAAGTGGAACATGTGGCACAATAAGCAATTATGAATCCTGTTACCTGAATGGAACTACCGATTCAAGTTAAGTCTAGATTTTGCAATATTGCAGTCTAAAGATAATTAGATTTGATTCAAATATGAGTTAAATGGATGTAAAATGAAACAGTAAAATGTTTTTTACTGATATGAAATAGAGGAAAAATATAGACTTCATTTAAACAGATGGCCATCTGTCGGGGGTGCTTTGAATGCTAATTTCCTGCTTCTTGGCAGGGGGTTGGACTGGATGGCCTTTGAGTTCTCTTCCAACTCAATGGCTCTATGATTCTATGTATACACCATTATTAATGGGAATGCTTGCTTTGACATAGCTCAGAGGGAAAGGAGGAAAGGAGAAATGTAAAATTAACATCCTCCTTCACCCCCATCCAGACAAAATTATATCTAAATGAAGAATGCAATTTAGTTGGCTATTATAGGGAAATGATCAATTCACTTCTGACATGATAAATAAATAAATAAATGGCATAAGTGTGTGTGGAAGAAGGTGGTAAATTGTACTTACCTTTATGAAGGTACGTTTCCAGAGACGGAGTGAAATATTCACCTGAGTTACATCAGATGGAACCACAGT